CAGCCTCCTGAGTAGCTGGGACCACAGGCGCCCGCCACAATGACTGGCTATTTTTTTGTTGCAATTTGGCCGGGGCTGGGTTTGAACCCGCCACCCTGGGTATATGGGGCCGGCGCCCGACTCACTGAGCCACAGCGCCACCCTATAATTACCTAATATTAATTGCCTATTAATGTTATTAAATACCTAGTGTGCACTCTGCCTTAGTTTTTTCTTTTATATATACTTTGTTTAAATTTGGATCCAAATAAGATCCTCACGTTGTTGATATATGTGTTTTCAATATTTTTTAATCTACAAATTCTTCCTTTTTACTTTGCAATTTTTTTGAAAAAACTCATCATTTGGTTTCTTAAGTTTTCCACAATCTCAGTTTTGCTTTTCTGCATCCCTGTGGTGGTATTTTACATGTCGCTTTGTCTTCATTTTCCTTTGAATTGATGATTAGATTGTGGGGCATGATCTGTTTTAGGATTTTTTTAAGGTGGGGAAGAAACAAGACTTTGTTGTAGATAGGATAAGCGCTTCTTAGTTGTCTTCATTGTGCTTTTCTCTGCTTTTCAGATATTCTGTGATTAAGAGATGTTAGATTTATTTAAAAACTTTTGTTGAGGTATATGATAAAAAGCACAGATTAAAAATATACAATATAAGTTTTTCCCAACATTTTATAGTAAAAGTTTTCAAACACACAGGCTGAAAAAATATCCTCTTCACTGCCATCCTCATTATGTTTTACTATATTTCCTTTATTGCATATGTATTCATCTCCATATCCATTTTATTTTTTTTCTTTTTCTCAGCCTGATTTTCTTGCCTCAGCCTCCTGGGACTAAGGCACCTGCCCATTCTGTTTTTAGATCTAGGGTCTCACTCTTGCTCAGGCTGGTCTGAACTCCTGAGCTCAAGCAGTCTACCTGCATCGGCCTCTGGAATGCTAAGATTACAGGGGTGAGCCACCATGCCCATTGGGGCTCCAGCCTTGTTTAGATAAGTTCAGATACCGAAATACTTACCACTGTGTTACAGTTGCCTACAGTATTCAATGTATTCAGTACAGTAACACACTGTATATGTTGTAGACTAAGAGCAATAGGCCATTACCATACAGCCTAGATATGTAGTAGGCTATACCATCTAGGTTTGTGAAGTACACTCTGAGATCACACACTGATAAAGTCAACTAACCATGCTCAGAATGTTTTCCTATCGTTGAGCAATATTTGACTGTAAATATAATCATATGACGTATGACTTTTTGCTTCTAGTTTTTTTCACTTAGTATAATGTTTTTTTTTTTTTTTT